CTGGTATAGGCCTGATCAGGCATCCCCTGAGGGGTCCCAGATTGCAAGAAGGTGCAGGCCAGGCTGAAGTAACTCCCCCCTGCACAAATTTCATGCACTGGGCATCTAGTTGTAAATAACACTGCAATGAACATAGGAGTGCAAAAATTCTTTCTAATTAGTCTTTCAAGTTTCAGATATTTTTCCAAAAGTAGAATTACTGTATCTAAGGCAGTTGCATTTTTAATTTTGGGGAAAACTCCATAGTACTCTTTCCCAACAACCTACCTTCCAACCAACAGCATGTGAAGTTTCCTTTTTCTCAACATCCTCCCCAACAGTTGTTGTTTGTTTATTTATTGATAATAACCTTTCTGGCAAGTGTGAGATGATATCTTGTGGTTTTAATTGCATCTCTCTGATGACTAGTGACCTTGAATATCTTTCTATAGTATAACATACATAAAAGAATAGTTCATTACTCTTCAAATTTGGATGCCATATTTGGTTTCAAGGAAGAGTCTGGGTTGTACTTTAAAAAAAAATTAAAGTAATATAAGTTTTCCTTTTTATAGTTTGTAATTACAGTCATATCTATATAAATTATTTTTATGCTTATTCATTAAATTTTAAGACTAATATTTAGCAAGGGTTCATTTGTTTTAGTACACTGACCAGTTAAAAATAATTTATAGAATCTCTTTGATTTTATTTTTCTGTCACACTTAAAAACAGATTATATAGAAAGTATAAAAGATAGAATATGAAATAAAAATATATCTTTCAGTAAAATTTTTAATGTATTTTATATTGGCACATGCTTATAGAATAATGTAAATTATTTTAACAAGCAAACAAAGAAAGTCTTAGCTTACAAAGTATTTATATATATAATACATATATATATAACTTTAGACAAAAATTCCTTTTAGTTTGTACTCTGCTAGCAACATAAATCCATTACAAGGTATCACTCCCTTCTAAGATTCTCACTTTATTTTCTAAATACCTCATAGAAAGTAAAAGAGAAATAATTTAAACTGTTGAAAATGTGAAATAAGTGTACATGAAGTGAGCTACGAAAATATACCAAACAAGTTGTGATAGCATTAATGTTTCATGAACATAGGAACAAAAAAACTAAAGAATGTGTGTGCACCAACATTAAAAAGACTTGTTAGCTAACATATCCCCCCCGCAAAAAAACTATTTTAGTAATAGCATAACATACTGAAAGAAAAGCATTGACAAAATAAAATTAGGTGTTGAAATACTTTCAAGTAGAATATTAATTTGTTTCCTTATTTGTTGTATGTATGCATTAGAGGTAAAAAGGGAAAGTGAATGTATGGAAAAGAAATTTCTCTGTCATGTACTAAAAGCCTCAGGGAAACAAGGTGGTGTAGATAATAGAACTAACCTAGGAAGTAATTTTGATTACCTGTGCTGATGGTAACCACATGCAGGTACATAATAGTCATTAGAAGGGGTTATATTGAAATAAAAAATAAAAATTGAGAAAATGGAAAATAGCAATAGAAGATTTATTATTCACAATTTCTTTGCAAATTTGTAACAGAGAATTGGGAAATTCAAGGCTGGAAATAAAGGAAGGTTGATGATAAAAGAAAAATTAGAGTACTTTTTAACAAAATACCCTATTCTGTCTCAGAAACAAATAAATATGAAGTTGAGGATACATAGGATAAGACAGGAGCTGTGTATTGCATATAATAAACTATATCTCAAAATGTAGGCTTAATTTTTGATGCAGTGAATATTTTCACAGTGGGAAAGTAGGCCTGCACTGGATGTAAGGTTGCCAGGTTCTCTTCATGCAGCTGAAAGCAATTTTGCCCTAAAATTCAAACAATTTCTTGTAGTGTCCAATGAATCTTTACACATAGATATGTGAAAGTATAAAAAACAGGTTACAAGACAGTCATCTAGAAAGAAGCATAATGAGGCTTTGACTTTTCTTGCAGGTTGGTGTCACTGTGCTCATGAACTTGAATTTCAAGGTACTTAGCTTGCTCTTAGACAGCCTATTCAGCAGAAAGTTGAGAACAACCACTCAGTGTTACAATGGGAACAAATTACAGTGTTTTTTTAATTTTTAAAATTTATAGTAAAAAGACCATGAGAGTACTTATTCAACTATTAAAAGTAAATTAAAGCACTGAATTATTAAAGTAATATACGGTTGAAACATAAAAGTTTGGAAACAGGGTTTAGTACTAGCCTTTAGTCCTCATCTTATAAAAGCAGCCCTAAGTTTTGTGTTTCCTTCTTTATGCTCCCAATAGCTTATCTTAACAAGGAGAATGAACTGATTAGTATAACATACACAAAAGCATTGTTTTTAGCTGTTCTTGAATGGGTGTAAATTTGAACTAGGGTTACTCATGCAGTATCTGTGGGTTTCTCTTAAATTTCTGTATGTGGCACCCAGCTGGACTCCCATTATAGATTTACAGCCTAAACAGACAACCCTGCCCTTAACCCATGTAAAAGTAACCATAATTAAACCCCCCTATGGTAACTGTTGGTAGGGATCTGAAAGCAGCCATTACTTCCAATTGTAGGGATGTGGGAAGCCTGCAGAGCTGTGCTGGTTTTGCAGCTGATTCACAAGAGCTGAGGCAGTGGAAAAATTAGTGTAATCTAAGGGAAATCTTATGAACGGACATTGAGACATAAGAAAATGTGGCCTTTAATTTTACTCCATTCAAGAAGTATTTACTTGCTTGATTCTGTGCATGAGGGATGATTGGAAGTCTGAGATTTATCATGTAGGGTGCATTTCAGACTGACACTCAGCTGATACACACTGACACAGCAATTCTGAGTGTTAAAATATCGAACTGCTGTGATTCCACTTGACAGTCAAGCCTTATTCTTTCAAATATGGCTCTCTTCTCTGTCCAGACAGAATGTTTTTGGATTCATGTGAACCTTAGAATCAAATCAATAAAGCCAAACCTGCCTTAACCAGTTTGGCTCAGTGGATAGAGCCTTAGCCTACAGACTACAGGGGCCCAGGTTCAATTCCGGTCAAGGGCATGAACCTTGATTACAGGCACATTCCCAGTAGGGGGTGTGCAAGAGCAGCTTATTGATGTTTCTAACTCTCCCTCTCCCTTCCTCTCTGTAAAAAATATCAATAAAATATATTTTTCAAAAAAGAAAAGAAAAGAAAGCCAGACCTGACCTGCACAGCAGGGATTCTCAAAGAGCCTGGTGCAGACAAAAGCTGTAACATCAATATTTTTCAGTCAGTAAATGTACCATGGTGGTAATTATGTGTTTTCAGTTTAACTTCTGCATAAATGGATTAGAATGAAAGATATATCTGAAAACAAAGATTGAAAACATACTGTGAAGAGCCTTGACTGTGATGCTCAGGATTTAGCCCAGGATTAATGTTTGTTTAGTTGTTTAGCTGTTTTAAAAGAAGTAGGTGACACGATTAAGTACTCTATCTAAAACAAAAACAAAAACACCCCTATTAGTAAGATAGTGCATGGATTTGACGCTTGATGTAAGTATCCAACCTAACTAGGAAAGAATTATAATTGCGATAGAGCACATGCCAGGCGTCTTGAAACTACGGCCCTCGGGCCACATGCGGCCCACAGAGGAGTCTGATCCGGCCCGCCAGGTTTTTTGGGCAGTGAGCGCAGCCGAGGTGTTACAGTAGGAATTAGAATATAGTCCGGCCCTCCAGCTCTCTGAGGGACCGTGATCTGGCCCCCACTTTAAAAAGTTTGAGGACCCCTGTGACATCCAATGTTATTCTTTGAAATCTATTCTGTTCCTTTAATATCTAATCTGTACTGTTTCTAATTTCATAAATAGCACTTCTTTTTGCATTCCTCATAAATTTATGTAAAAAACTATAAGATCAGGTCTCCTTTTTTGGGAAGACAGAAGGGGAAAAGGAGTTCAAGTACAACAAAATCAGGGTGAATTATCATGCCTGGTGTTCATTTTCATGCCCTAGGATTATAGAAAGACCAAGAGAGAAAATAAAATGAGAGGAGGTTCCCATAGTGAATTTTTATTATCTATTTCTTTACTAGGAGGTCTATATCTTGGATTCAGGATTTTGCCAGCTAAAATTCCCTTGTAAAGATTCCCAATATTTAGTGCTTCCTAAAGAATTGCTTTTTAATTTTTTAAACCATTTGTGAACTACAATAGCCTAAATTAAGACATTAATTTTATTGAATTGTTTTTCTTCATATTTCTGTACCCTTTATTGCCCACAATTAAGTTACTATTGCTTGAAATTATAATTACTTTATGATTATGCCTTTGCAGATGAAGTTCTTATTCCTTCACCTGGGAAATTTTGTCCACCTGGGATATTTTTGCCAATCTTCAGCAACTACCTGCAACTGTCAGTGCAACGATCAGCTTTGCTTTAAGCTCACGAAAGAACAAAGCTTAGGGATTAAATCCTGCCCAATTTATTTCATACTTATTACATCTTCCAGGTTAGGCTGATTAATTTAAGGAGCTGACTTTGCCATCTGTGAGATGAGCAAAGTCTCAGAGTGATGTTATGTTCACATTTGAAATCAATATGCATGCTGAAAGGGAGCATTGCCAGGAAATTTTAGCTAACTAGCTGGATTACCCGTCCTTCATGGGATATTATTGTCAATGAATTTAACAAGGTCCAGGTCTGAAACTCCACCTTATTGGTCTAGGAATAGGATTTTATCAGTGCACCCAGATGTCAAATAAAAGCAGAATGCTTCTTGGTAAGCAAGGTATTAGCCTCTGAAAGGCAGTGTTCATAAATTTTATGATTAGACAAGTAGTTTTCAAGCTGCATCATTTGAAGCTCTAGAATCACTGTTCAATATGGCAAATACTAGCCAGACATAAATATTATACATTTGAAATATGGCTTGTAAAATTGAAGATCAGAATTTTAAATTTTAGTTTTACTGAAAATTTCGATTTTAATTAAATTGTTAATTTTGTTAGATTTTAATCTTAACTAATTTGAGTTAAATTGGTTACTTATTTTAGTTTGGGAAACATAAAAATTATGTTTAGAATAACAATGGTATGCAAATATACCTTTCAACTCTGTGAAATCACAGATTTCCATTGAGAATTAAGCATCTGAATCAAGTTGTAGAAGCAAAAAATGAATTTGAAGACTTAGTCAAAAAAAAACAAACAAGAAAAATTGTATCCTGCTGCACTGCTGAATTTATTAAGTCTAACAATTTCTTATGGAATCTAGGGTTTTCTATGTACAATGTCATGTCATCTGAGAATAAGGACAGTTTTACTTCTTTTTTGTTCCAAATTAGATGCCTTTTATTTCTTTTTGTCTGACCACAATGGGTAGCACTTCCAGTACTATGTCAAATAGGAGTGGTGAGACTGGGCATCTCTGTCTTGTTACTAATCTTAGGGGAAATGGTTTTAGCTTTTGCTCATTGAGTATGATGTTGGCTGTGGGTTTGTCATATATGGGTTTTATTATGTTGAGGTATGATCCTTCTATTCCCACCATGCTGAGAGTATTACCAAGAAAGGGTGTTGGATTTTGTCAAATGCTTTTTCTGTGTCAATTGATTTGACTATGTGATTTTTATCTCTAAATTTGTTTATGTGATGTATTATATTTATTGATTTGCAGATATTGAACTATCCTTGCATCCCTGGGATAAATCCTACTTGGTCATGGTATATGATCTTTATGATGTACTGCTCGATTCATTTTGCTAGAATTTTGGCATCTATATCCATGAGGGATATTGGCCTGTAATTCTCTTTCATTGTTTTGTCTGACCTAAATAGATATTTTTCGAAAGAAGAGATAAGGAAGGCCAAGATACATATGAAAAAAAAATGCTCAAAGTCACTAATAATCCAAGAGATGCAAATCAATACAACAATGAAGTACCATCTCATACTTGTTAGAATGGCTATCATCAACAACTCAACAAATGACAAGTGCTGGTAAGAATGTGGAGAAAAAAGGAACCATGGTGCACTGCTCGTGGGAATGCAGACTGGTGCATCCACTGTACAGAACAGTATGGAGTTTCCTAAAAAAAACTAAAAATGGAACTCCCATTTGACCCAGTGATTCCACTTCTAGGAATATATCCCAATAAACTAGAAACACCAATTAGAAAGGATATATGCACCCCTATGTTCATAGCAGCACAATTCACCATAGCTAAGATTTGGAAACAGACTAAGTGCCCATTAGCAGATGAGTGGATTAAAAAACTGTGGTACATCTACACAATTGAATACTACATTTCAGTAGAAAAGAAGGAGTTCTTATCATTTGCAACAGCATGAATAGAACTGGAGAGCATTATGCTAAGTGAAATAAGCTAGTTAGAAAAAGATAAATATCACATGATCTCACTCATTTATGGAATATAATGAACAATATAAACTGATAAGCAAAACAGATTGAGAGACAGAGAAGCATCGATCTGACTGTCAAACCTCAGAGGGAAGATAGGGGAGGGTGGAGGCAAGGGGGAAAGACCAACCAAAGGACTTGTATGCATGCATATAGGCCTAACCAATGGACAAATACAACAGGGGGGTGAGGGGATGAGTACGAGGGGAGGGAGGGTAATGGGGTGATAAAGACATATGTGTAATAATCAATTAAAAATTTTTAAATTAAATTATCTCATAATAGAGTTTATGTTGATTACATAGTGAAATGATGATTTTTTATATATTAGGTAAAATAAAACAAAGTTATAAAATTAGTTTCACCTATGACTTCTTACTTTTTGAAAAGGTGGTTCCTTGGTGATTTAAAATAATACCTTTAAGTTATAGTAGATATGTATTAAATAAAGCTATTCTATCTAATTAAAGAGTAATATGCAAATTAACCACCACTTCACTACACCCACCAGCCAATTAGAGCAAGTCTGCAAATTAATCCCAACCAAGATGGTCGATAACCACAGAAAACAGGAGGGAGGCATGGGTTTCCTTGGCAATGAAGGAAGCCAAGCTTTCCACATACTCTGGCAAGCCCAGGCCTCCATTCAAGGGTACAAAGTTGCAATTATAGAAGGTAAACAAATTCTAATAGAAATGGCGGCAGCCACTGAACTGGAAGAGCAGGAGGCTAGGGTTTCACTGGGCGATGGATGGATAAAGCGAAGCTTTTGTAGCCCTGGCACGCTCAGATCTTACCTCCAGGCTACAAAGTTTCAATTACAAAAGATACATAAATTCCAACAGAAATGGCTGCTGCCACAGAGCAAGCGATGGCCTGAGGACTGAAGGGTCTTGGGTTCAATTCCAGTCAAGGGCATGTACCTTGGTTGTGGGCACATCCCCAGTAGAGGAGCGTGAAAGAGGCATCTGATAGATGACTCTCTCTCTTCGATGTTTCTAACTATCTCCCTTCCTCTCTGTAAAAAATCAATAAAATATATTAAAAAAAAAAAGAGTAATATGAAGATTGACTGTCACTCCAACACACAAGATGGCTGCCCCCATGTGGACACAAAATGGCTACCACAAGATGGCCAGCAGGGGAGGGCAGTTGGAAGGCACCAGGCTTGCAAGGAAGAGCAGTTGGAGGTGATCAACCCTGCAGTGGAGGGCAGTTAGGGGCAAACAGGCTGGCAGGGGAGTGGTTAGGGGGTGTTCAGGCTGGCAGGCAGAAGTGGTTAGGAGCAATCAGGAAGGCAGGCAGGCGAGAAGATTGGAGAGGGTGTAGGCTGGGCTGAGGGACACCCCATTACCCCCCATACAAATTTTGTGTACCAGGCCTCTAGTACTAGAATATTTGATGTATGAGACAGAAGGTCAACAGTGTTATCCTCTCCATACCAAACATTCTTAAACAAGTGCAGCTCTTCTCTTCTACTATACTATTTATCTGTTTTATACCTTATCCTTCCATATCAGATTGAATCTTAAGCTAGAACTCTAGTGCTGAAAATAATGTTTAAAAAACGTTATTTTAAATCAGAATGAAATTTAATACAGTAGTATGATGCTATTGATTTTTGATTTCTGCAATTTAAGTATGATATGCATAGGTGTAGAATTTTTGGTAGCCAATCTGCTTGGTATTCATTTAATTTTCTGGTTTTATGTTGGTGTCTGTCATTAATTTCAGAAAAAAATTGGCCATTTTTTTCAATTATTTATTCAGCCATCATGTCTTTCTTCTCTTCCTGGTATTAAAATTATTCATATATGCTGAAGCCAGTTTGGCTCAGTGGTAGAGCGTCGGTCTGCGGACTGAAGGGTCCCAGGTTCGATTCTGGTCAGGGGCATGTACGTTGGTTGCGGGCACATTCCCGGTAGGGGGTGTGCAAGAGGCAGCTGGTTGATGTTTCTCTCTCATCGACTTTTCTAGCTCTCTATCTCTCTCTCTTCCTCTCTGTAAAAAAATCAATAAAATATATTTATAAATAAATAAATAAATAAATAATAAAATTATTCATATATTACACCTTTTATAGTTTTCCCACAGTTCTCAGATGTTCTGTTCTCATCATTCTGTTTGCATTTTACTTTAGAGTGTTTCTATTGACCTGCCCTGAAGATCACCGATTTTTTCTTCTCTCTTGTTTATTTTACTAAGTCCATCAAAAATATTGTTTATTTTTGCTGTAGTGTTTTTGTTTTCTAATATTTCCCTTTGATTCATAGAGTTTCCATCTTTTTGTTTATATTATCCAGATATTCTTGCACGTTTTCAACTTTTTTCCATCAGAGACCTTAATATCTTAAAGATAGTTATTTGAAATTTCCTATATGATATTTTGAAAACTATTTCCTGAGTCATATTCTGATACTATTTTTTTTTTTTTTGGTGGGGGGGGAGGGTCACTTCAGACTTTTTCTTAACTTTTAGCATGCATTGGGTTGTTCTGTTGAAAGCCAAATATGATGTGTCGTATAAAAGGAACTGAGGTAAATAGAGATTTATGTTAAAAGGAATGTTAGCCAAAACCAGTTTGGCTCAGTGGATAAAGCATTGGCCTGCGAACTGAAAGGTCCCAGGAGGCAGCTGATCGATGTTTCTAACTCTCTATCCCTCTCTGCTTCCTCTCTGTAAAAAATCAGTAAAAATATATTTAAAAACAACAACAAATGTTAATCTGCCTGGAAGTTAGGTCATGTTTAATGTTTCTTATAGCTGTAGGTTCCAGAAGCTTTAAAATACTATAGTGTTCTTGTTTTTGTTTCTCTTGCTGTCTTTGTGCTTCCCTAAAACAGAGCCTTTATTTTAGACCTCTTTTAGTTGTAATCCACAGTTTCTATACTCCGTCCCTTTTGTTGTGTGGTAAGGTATGGGAGAGAGGAAATATTCCATAAGCATGTGATTATATCTCAGTGTATAAATGGATCTGCGTCTCTGGATTGTGACCTTCCTAGCTGTTTCTTACCTTGCCCAACCCACCGTATTCATTGATACAGGAAGACTGGAGGGTACTGGAGCCTAAGTGTTCTTACCATAGGTGGGTTAAAGTCTAATAGGGTCTTTCCTCCTGGAAAGTAGCTCTGTGGGAAAAGGTGCGAGCATATTTCACAATGGCTACTCTTTCTCTCCCTCTGTAAAGCTGTAAGGGGATCTTTTCTTGAGTCTTCACTGTGGAAAATCAGCAAGGGTTCCTGGAAAGAAAATTGACCAGAGTCAGGGTTCACTAAGGAACTAGTTGGAAATGCCTCAGCTGTAACTAGTTTACTTTTCTAGAGGTTTCTGCTATAGGTGAGCAAACCAAAACTTACTCTCTTGATTCTCCTGTCTCCGTATTCTGGGTTGTCTCTGTGCCCTATGGCCTCAGTTCTCTGTTGGATATAAGAGTCTAGGTAAACATGCAGAGCATGAGACCAGCACAAAAAATGAAGGCATTTAATGAACTTGCCTTACTTTATAAATTTAAAATGACAAGAAATACTTTATAAATAGTTATTGATAAGTTGAGGATAGTATCTATGTTCTAAAAACTCATTGATTTAACATATGATTAAGATAATAAAAATTAATTTTTCATTCATATATCACCTACATGCATGCTGTTTTTTCAGGTAGTGTATCTCATAAGACAATTTACTGGTATCACTCAGTATTAAGTATTTAGAGATAATTGTACTTTAAGGTTACCACCCAAGTCTTCATCAGCTTGACATCATTCTGAAGAATGTGATACTTACTCTGGAAATGAACACATTTGCTTACATATATACTTCCAAACTATGGCCATCAACAAATAGTAATTCCTAAATGATATTTTCACTGTTTTCCCTACCTCTTGCAGGAACATAGTTTGCTACTTTTATTTTCCTTCCAATAGGAAATTGCAAAATTTTCAAACAACACTTAAATACTAGGTATTTTCTATTTTCTTTTTTATTTTTAATGGGGAAGATATGTTCAAGTACTTATTATTTGCTATTGTAATAAAATATATAACATTTACAATCTCAGCAGTAGTTATTTTTAATTTCTTTTTGAATTTAGATTTATGGGCTAAAATAAACTTCTTATAATCCCTAAGTCAAGCATTAATAAATGAAAGCTTTAAGTTTGGGATATTTTATATTATGACCTAGTATGAAAATACAGTTTATAAAATCTTACCTTTTATTTCTTGCTAATATGCAATTTCTGCTCATTTATGCCTCTTATAGTTCCATTCTGGAAAGGCAGTATAAAATGGTCATTAAAAATGTAGACTCTGTACCCTGTGTATAAATCTAAATTATAAGTCTTATTAACTATTGACTGTGGTAAAGGCATGTAATATTTCTATGTGCAGTTCCCTCTTAATGCAATAGGGAGTACTACCTATCTCATAGTGCTATAAAATAATTAAAGTAATAAATTCAGTTATTTTCTAAATATTTTTAAACTACTTACAATGTGTTATAACCTGTCAAAATGAGAGTTGGTTGGTGATTATAGCAGAGAGGTAGTGGGGAGAAGTTCAGGCCATAATAAAGATTTTGGATTTTACTCTGAATTAGGAAGAGAAATATTGGGTATTTTGTGCAGAATAGTAACCTTGAGATTTTGAGGTATTTTTCTCTGGCTTCTTGTGGAAGAAGAGACTATAGGAGAGCATGGTTAGGTGCAGTAAGACAAACTAGGAGACTGAAGAAATGGTCCAGGAGAGATATGACTGTGGGTTAAATGAGACTACTTATTGATGATATATGTGATAAAAAAAAATGTTAGATTCAGGATATATGTTGTAAGTAGAGCCCACAAGATTTGTAAATAGATAGCCCACAAAAATGTTTGTTGAGCAACTATAAGAGTAGATTTTACTTTCACTGAGATGAGAAAGGGTGAGATAACAGAAGGACTTTGCTTGGGAGAGGGCATAGTTTGGACATGGCCCAGAACATGATCTGTCTCATACAAAGAGTATAATAAGCATGAGCTCTCATCTTTTCCACCACAAACACTATTTCTATTCCTGTGTACCTTCAAATTTGCTCTTGTTCCTTGCAATCCCCCAG